TAAGGTAACCCAACGCCAAGTTACATTCAGTTTCTTCACTGCCTCAAACAAACAAAGCCTAAAAATCACTGTAACAGAATTGGGAAGCCTAAATATCAGTGCCTAAAACCATTTTAGCTCAGATTTAAAATCCAGTGTTGGGCTTGAGTCATATCAGAAACGAATTCGCCATGGCTGCAACGGCGGTTAAATCTGTATTGCCACGCCAATATACGTTTGTCTCTTATATGAACAAAGGCTAAAAATCTCATAAACGGATTTCCTTTTTTCAAAATCATCACAGCCATAAACTCATACACAGCGGAGTAAAATGGATACATTTCAGGCTATATGTTCATTTGAGGCATTGAAGAAACCAACGTAATATGGCGTGGCGTTACTGAATTAACCACCGTTGTAGCTCAAATTTGAAATTGGTTTTGTGCTTTAGTCATTAGAAACGAATTCACCATGGCTGCAACAACGTTTAATTCCGTAGTGCCAGACCAAGATACGTTCATTCCTACGATGCCTCAAACTTAAAGAGACTAAAGATCTCATAAACAGATTTCGTTTCTTCAAAATTATCACAGCCATAAACTCATACACAGACCCACGTGAATGGCTACATTTCAGGCAATTTAAGAAACCAAATCGCAATGGAGTCTACAATGGTGCTTAATTCCGTAACACCGCGCCATATTACATTGGTTTCTAAAATTGCGTGAAATGAACAAAGCTTGAAAACCAGAGAAACATCTTTCATTACTTCAAAATCATCATATGCCATACAATATTTACTCACACCAGCACGAAATTTAGGCGTTTGAGGCAGTGATAGAAACCAAATCGCCATGGCTGCTTTAACGGTGGTTAATTCCGTAACGCCACGCCAAGTTGCATTCAATTCTTCAATGCCTCAAACAGTGAAAACCTGAAAATCAAAGTAATTAATTTCATAAATTAAAAATCTGAACACCAGTGATATTTATACACACCCACACAAAATTGATACACTTGAGGCAATCTAAGAAACCAAATTGTCATGGATGGTATAATGGTGGTTAGTAAGGTAACAAACTGACAAGTTACGTTGAGATTTCTTCACTGCCTCAAACAAACAAAGCCTAAATAAAAATCACTGTAACAGAATTGGGAAGCCAAAAAATAAGAGCCTAAATTCGTTTTAGCTCAGATTTGAAATCCAGTGTTGAGCTTGAGTCATATAAGAAACGAATTCGCCATAGCTGCAACAGCGGTTGAATCCGTAATGCCACGCCAAGATACGTTTGTCTCTTATATGAACAAAGGCTAAAAATCTCATAAACGGATTTAGTTTCTTCAAAATCATCACAGCCATAAACTCATTCACAGCGGAGTAAAATGGATACATTTCAGGCTATATGTTCGTTTGAGGCATTGAAGAAACCGACGTAATATGGCGTGGCGTTATCGAACTAACCACCGTTGTAGCTCAAATTTGAAATTGGTTTTGTGCTTCAGTCATTAGCAAAGAATTCGCAATGGCTGCAACATTTAATTCCCTAGTGCCACACTAAGATACGTTCATTCCTACGATGCCTCAAACTTAAAGAGACTAAAGATCTCAGAAACAGATTTCGTTTCTTCAAAATCATCACAGCCATAAACTCATACACAGACCCACGTGAATGGCTACATTTCAGGCAATTTAAGAAACCAAATCGCAATGGATTCTACAATGACGCTTAATTGCGTAACACCCCGTCATATCACATTGGTTTCTTAAATTGCCTAAAATGAACAAAGCCTTAAAATCAGAGAAACATATTTCATTACTTAAAAATCATCATATGCCATAAAATTTCTACTCAGATCAGCACGAAATTTAGGCGTTTGACGCAATTGAGGCAAAATCTGAACACCCGTGATTTCTTATACACACCCACACAAAATTGATACACTTGAGGCAATCTAAGAAACCAAATTGCCATGGCTGGTATAATGGTGGTTAGTAAGGTAACCCAATGCCAAGTTACGTTCAGGTTTCTTCACTGCTTCAAACAAAGCCTAAAAATCACTATAACAGAATTGGAAAGCCTAAAAATCAGAGCATAAATTCGTTTTAGCTCAGATTATAAATCAGTGTTGTGCTTGAGTCATATCAGAAACGAATTCCCCATGGCTGCAACAGCGGTTGAATCCGTAATGCCACGCCAAGATACATTCGTTTCTTATATGAACAAAGGCTAAAAATCTCAGAAACGGATTTCGTTTCTTCAAAATCATCACAGCCATAAACTCATTCACACCGGAGTAAAATGGATACATTTCAGGCTATGTTCGTTTGAGGCATTGAAGAAACCAACGCGTTATGGCGTGGCGTTACCGAATTTACCACCGTCATAGCGCAGATTTGAAATTAGTTTTGTGCTTGAGTCATTAGAGACGAATTCGCCATGGTTCCAACAACGTTTAATTCCGTAGTGCCACACCAAGATACGTTCATTCCTACGATGCCTCAAACTTAAAGAGACTAAAGACCTCATAAACAGACCCCCGTGAATGGCTACATTTCACGCAATTTAAGAAACCAAATCGCAATGGAGTCTACAATAGTGCTTAATTGCGTAACACCGCGCCATATTACATTGGTTTCTTAAATTGCCTGAAATGAACAAAGCCTGAAAATCAGAGAAACATATTTCATTACTTCAAAATCATCATATGCCATTAAATTTTTACTCACACCAGCACGAAATTTACGCGTTTGAGGCAATGAAATAAACCAAATTGCCATGGCTGCTTCAACGGTGGTTAATTCCGTAACGCCACGGCAAGTTGCATTCAATTCTTCAATGCCACAAACTGTAAAAACCTGAAAATCAAAGTAATTAATTTCATAAATTCAAAATCTGAACACCCGTGAATTCTTATACACACCCACACAAAATTGATACACTTGAGGCAATCTATGAAACCAAATTGCCATGGCTGGTATAATGGTGGTTAGTAAGGTAACAAACCGACAAGTTACGTTGAGATGGCTGCAACAGCGGTGAATGGCTACATTTCAAAAATTTAAGAAACCAAATCGCAATGGATTCTACAATGACGCTTAATTGCGTAACACCCCGTCATATCACATTGGTTTCTTAAATTGCCTAAAATGAACAAAGCCTTAAAATCAGAGAAACATATTTCATTACTTCAAAATCATCATATGCCATAAAATTTCTACTCAGACCAGCACGAAATTTAGGCGTTTGACGCAATTGAGGCAAAATCTGAAGAAACCAAATTGCCATGGCTGCTTCAATGGTGGTTAATTCCGTAACGCCACGGCAAGTTGCATTCAATTCTTCAATGCCACAAACTGTAAAAACCTGAAAAACAAAGTAATTAATTTCATAAATTCAAAATCTGAACACCCGTGAATTCTTATACACACCCACACAAAATTGATACACTTGAGGCAATCTATGAAACCAAATTGCCATGGCTGGTATAATGGTGGTTAGTAAGGTAACCCAACGCCAAGTTACGTTCAGGTTTCTTCGATGCCTCAAACAAACAAAGCCTAAAAATCACTGTAACAGAACTGGGAAGCCTAAATATCACGGCCTAAACCCGTTTTAGCTCAGATTTAAAATCCAGTGTTGGGCTTGAGTCATATCAGAAACAAATTCGCCATGGCTGCAACGACGGTTAAATCTGTAATGCCACGCGAAGATACGTTCGTTTCTTATATGAACAAAGGCTAAAAATCTCAAAAACGGATTTCGTTTCTTCAAAATCATCACAGCCATAAACTCATTCACACCGGAGTAAAATGGATACATTTCAGGCTATGTTCGTTTGAGGCATTGAAGAAACCGACGAGATATGGCATGGCATTACCGAATTAACCACCGTTGTAGCCCAGATTTGAAATTAGTTTTGAGCTTGAGTCATTAGAAACGAATTCGCCATGGCTGCAACAACGTTTAATTTCGTAGTGCCACACCAAGATACGTTCATTCCTACGATGCCTCAAACTTAAAGAGACTAAAGATCTCATAAACAGATTTTGTTTCTTCAAAATCATCACAGCCATAAACTCATACACAGACCCACGTGAATGGCTACATTTTAGGCAATTTAAGAAACCAAATCGCAATGGATTCTACAATGGTGTTTAATTGCGTAACACCGCGCCATATTACATTGGTTTCTTAAATTGATTGAAATGAACAAAGCCTGAAAATCAGAGAAACATATTTCATTACTTCAAAATCATCATATGCCATAAAATTTTTACTCACACCAGCACGAAATTTAGGCGTTGGAGGCAATGAAAGAAACCAAATTGCCATGGCTGGTATAATGGTGGTTAGTAAGGGGACCAAACGCCAACTTACGTTCACGTTTCTTCACTGCCTCAAACAAAGCCTAAAAATCACTGTAACAAAATTGGGAAGCCTAAATATAAGAGCCTAAAACCGTTTTAGCTCAGATTTGAAATCAAGTGATGTGCTTGAGTCATATAAGAAATGAATTCGCCATGGCTGCAACAACGGTTGAATCCGTAATGCCACGCCAAGATACGTTCGTTTCTTATATGAACAAAGGCTAAAAATCTCAGAAACGGATTTCGTTTCTTGAAAATAATCACAGCCATAAACTCATTCAAACCGGAGTAAAATGGATACATTTCAGGCTATGTTCTTTTGACGCATTGAAGAAACCGACGTAATATGGCAGGGCGTTACCGAATTAACCACCGTTGTACCTCAGTTTGCAGTTTTGTGCTTGAGTCATTGGAAACGAATTCACCATGGCTGCAACAATGTTTAAATCCGTAGTGCCACACCAAGATACGTTCATTCCTACGATGCCTCAAACTTAAAGAGACTGAAGATCTCATAAACAGATTTCGTTTCTTCAAAATCATCACAGCCAAAAACTCATACACAGACCGACGTGAATGGCTACATTTCAGGTAATTTAAGAAACAAAATCGGAATGGAGTCTACAATGGGGCTTAATTGCGTAACACCACACCATATTACATTCGTTTCTTAAATTGCCTGAAATGAACAAAGCCTGAAAATCAGAGAAACATATTTCATTACTTCAAAATCATCATATGCCATAAAATTTTTACTCACACCAGCACAAAATTTAGGCGTTTGAGGCAATGAAAGAAACCAAATCGCCATGGCTCCTTCAGCGGTGGTTAATTCCGTAACGCCACGCCAAGTTGCATTCAATTCTTCAATGCCTCAAACTGTAAAAACCTGAAGATCAAAGTAATTAATTTCATAAATTCAAAATCTGAACACCCGTGAATTCTTATACACACCCACACAAAATTGATACACTTGAGGCAATCTAAGAAACCAAATTGCCATGGCTGGTATAATGGTGATTAGTAAGGTAACCCAACGCCAAGTTAGGTTCAGTTTCTTCGCTGCCTCAAACAAACAAAGCCTAAAAATCACTTAACAGAATTGGGAAGCCTAAATATCAGGGCCTTAAACCGTTTTGGCTCAGATATAAAATCCAGTGTTGGGCTTGAGTCATAACAGAAACAAATTCGCCATGGCTGCAACGGCGGTTAAATCCGTAATGCCACGCCAAGATACGTTTGTTTCTTATATGAACAAAGGCTAAAAATCTCAGAACCGGATTTCGTTTCTTCAAAATCATCACAGCCAAATACTCATTCACACTGGAGTAAAATGGTGCAATTCAGTGAACAAACAACATTTATTTTCAGGTACAAAGATTCAAAAGTTCCAATTCACCTATTCTCAATGCTATTTCTTTCCCTACAACACTAAGGCTAAATACAACAGACTAGATTTACGGACACTCGAGCAGATCCCTCGAAGCCGATGCTTGGACAAACCTAAAGAGAATCCTCAATGGGCGGGTTGGAGTCCCTACCAAGGAATCCCTTAGGTAGGACAGTGACTCCCGTACGTACGTTTTGAACCCTAGGCCACTGCATTTGCAAGCATGCTCCACAAGGCCCGAACCTAACAACAGTCCTATTGGTGGTTAAACTATCCAATTCAGTTCAGATCTGCCTAGGTATACTAGGTGGCCAATTTTCAACAGAGTTCTCAAATGATAACAATCACTTAAACATTTTCATAACAGAACAAACACTCAGCGGCCTATCGAAAGAATCACTTCTCACCGATTACCGTCATGCTCAAACAACAAGATTTAACTCAACAATATTAAAATAACATACCTGTGTCGCGAACTCGGGACTAAGGATTTATCCTCAAGCCCGGTGCACCCGCCGGAACAGTGCCAATTACAACCAGATCAGCCTGACAACCTGCCGACCCAGAAAACCCAACCTGCTGCCCCAATTGGGCAGCCCCTCACTGCCGGTCCAAACAGCCTGGTCAACCGGCCCGGGCAGCCCCACAACCGACCCAAACAGCCGGCCTGGGAGCCCAGACAGCCAGACCAACGACCCGGACAGCCCCCATTGATTCCCTAACCGAACAGTTTACACAAGAATCAGTCCAATCGGAACCCAATTGCAACGGCGGTTAAATCCGTAATGCCATGCCAAGATACGTTCGTTTCTTATATGAACAAAGGCTAAAAATCTCAGAACCAGATTTCGTTTCTTCAAAATCATCACAGCCAAAAACTCATTCACACCGGAGTAAAATGGTGCAATTCAGGCTATGTTCGTTTGAGGCATTGAAGAAACCAATGTAATATGGCGTGGCGTTACTGAACTAACCAATGTTGTAGCCCAGATTTGAAATTAGTTTTCTGCTTGAGTCAATAGAAAAGAATTAGCCATGCCTGCAATAATGTTTAATTCCGTAGTGCCACACCAAGATACGTTCATTCCTACGATGCCTCAAACTTAAAGAGACTAAAGATCTCATAAACAGATTATGTTTCTTCAAAATCATCACAGCCATAAATTCATACACAGAGCCACGTGAATGGCTACATTTCAGGCAGTTTAAGAAACCAAATCGCAATGGATTCTACAATGGTTCTTAAATGCATAACACCGCGCCATATTACATTGGTTTCTTAAATTGCGTGAAATGAACAAAGCCTGAAAATCAGAGAAACGGTGGTTAATTCAGTAGTGCCACGCCAAGTTGCATTCAATTCTTCAATGCCTCAAACTGTAAAAACCTAAAAATCAAAGTAATTAATTTCATAAATTCAAAATCTGAACACTCGTGAATTTTTATACACACCCACACAAAATTGATACACTTGAGGCAATCTAAGAAACCAAATTGCCATGGCTGGTATAATGGTGATTAGTAAGGTAACACAACGCCAAGTTACGTTCAGGTTTCTTCACTGCCTCAAACAAAGCCTAGAAATCACTGTAACAGAATTGGGAAGCCTAAATATAAGAGCCTAAAATGAATGAAATTGCTTTTTAAATTGCTTTTTAAATTTGAAATTTTTTTTTTTTACTTTCCCTAAAGAAAATGGTGCGTGCATGGCCACGGTGTGTGTAGGGCTGTAGGCAGTGACGGCACCACTGTGTCCATTGACTCCATTCTCCATTTACTCTATTACAGTATTACTCCATTTACTCTATTATTTTATATTTTCATATGTTGATCCTTAATAGTATTTTATATGTTTTGTTTAACCATTTATTTCTTATTACTTGAATCATAGGAAATAGCAAGAATCCTGGAGGTTCTAAACAGTGGACTTGTAATCATTGTAAGGGCAGGTTTACTAGCACTTACACAAGGATTCATGTCCATTTTTTTGGGCCTGCCGCGGGAAAAAAGGCTGAGATAAAAAGATGCCCAGCCATATGTAAAGGTCGGGAGATGTATGAAAGGCTTTTGAAGAAGGTAAAAGAAGCAGAAACTTTTGGAGTTTCAAAATCTTTAAGGAATTCAGTACTCTCCAAAAATGCACCTTCAAAGAAACGACTTGAAGAATCCTTTGGCGTGTTGGAGAGAAATGCTGTGGATATGAAGATCATTCGAGGATTGTGTGCAAACGGGATTCCATTCAATGTGTTACGCAACCCGCAATTTCTTGAAATGATTAGTGCCATCCAGCAAGCACCAGCAGGATAC